ATTATTTTTTAATTAAAATTTTAAATAAATTTGTTTTTAAAAATAATAATAATTAAACAATGAAATTAAATAAAACATCTATTAACACTTAAATAATGAAATTAAATAAAATATAAACAAAATTTTAAAGTAAAACATCAATAAAATATGAGAGCTTTTTTAGTAAATCCATTATCTAAGAGTGTTGTTCCAAGAAACCCATACTGTTTTATAATATTCCATTAGGTCCATTTCATACAAAAAGACCAAAAAAGCCCTAAAAAAACACGCGCCCCTCTCTCTCTCTCTTTGAATCTAATAACCGTTTCTCTTCCCCTCTCTATTCTTGCGCAAGAAATCACGCACAGTACCTCTACAGTCCAGAAATCCAAACCATATTCCACATCGCCTCGACGCCCCGAAGACTGTATTCCTTCCATCGTTGCATCGTCACATCGTCTCATCATCTTCTCCCCATCCCTACGCCGAGAAGCCTGTCTTCGTTCGATCGTCACATCGTCTCATCATCTTCTTCGCCGTTCGTACGCCCAGAAAACTGTATACGTTTCTTCGTCGAATCGTCCCTTCGTCTCAACATCTTTGTCGTCGAAATGGGCAAAAAACGTAAGCATTCATTTATTCTGAACCCCTCAATCGTAATCCCTAAATTTTTTGATTTTTGCACTCAAAAACATTACAGTTGCCATTACATTGTGTTCACAACTGTCACCATTCGAAAATGTTTTGGTTGTAGTTGTTGTTATTGATATCTGTGAACATTCACATTGATTGGAAATGGTTTGATAATCAAATTATTCCAGATGTTATTCCGTTGTTGTTCAATGCTGTGACCATTCACATGGTTTCAAAAATGTTTTGGCCAGTTCTTTTTTTGTTGCTATTGGTAACAGATATGAACATTCACATTGAATTAAAATGTTTGAGTAATCAGGTATTAATGGTGTTATTGTTGTATGCTGTGAAAATTCACAGGCATTGACACTCTTTGGCCAATTCTATTGTTGTTCTTGTTGTTGGAAGATGTGAACATTCACATTGCCTGAAAATTGTAGGACAATCAGATATTATTGGTTTATTTTGTTCTAGGCTGTGAACATTCGCATTGGTGCTGTTAATGCTCTACGATGTGAACATTCACATTGCCTGAAAGTTTTAGTTCAATCAGATATTATTGGTGCTTTTGGGCCAGGCTGTGAACATTCACATTGTCTGGAAAATTTGCCTGAAAAATTTAGGACATTCAGATATTATTGGTGTTGTTGTTCTATGCTGTCAACATTCACATTTGCTGGAAATTTTAGGAGAGTCAGATGTCGGTGGTGTTAATGTTCTACGATGTGAACATTCACATTGCTTGAAAGTTTTAGTTCAATAAGATATTATTGGTGCTTCTGGGCTAGGATGTGAACATTCACATTGTCTGGAAAATTTGCCTGAAAAATTTAGGACATTCAGATATTATTCGTGTTGTTGTTCTATGTTGTCAACATTCACATTTGCTGGAAATTTTAGGAGAGTCAGATGTCGGTGGTGTTAATGTTCTACGATGTGAACATTCACATTGCCTGAAATTTTTAGTTCAATCAGATATTATTGTTGCTTTTGGGCTAGGCTGCGAACATTCACATTGTCTGGAAAATTTGCCTGAAAAATTTAGGACATTCAGATAGCATTCGTGTTGTTGTTCTATGCTGTCAACATTCACATTTGCTGTAAATTTTAGGAGAGTCAGATGTCGGTGGTGTTAATGTTCTACGATGTGAACATTCATATTGCCTGAAAGTTTTAGTTCAATCAGATATTATTGGTGCTTTTGCTCTAAGCTGTGAACATTCATATTGTCTGGAAAATTTTAGAAGAGTCAGTTATTATAGGTGCTGTTGTTCTATGCTGTCACCATTCACATTGCCTGGAAATTTTTTGGATAGTCAGATATTGTTGGTTCTGTAGTTCTAGGCTGTGAACATTCAAATTGCTTGAAAATTTTAAGAGAGTCAGATTTTATTGGTGCTGTTGTTCTATGCTGTGAACATTCACATTGCCTGAAGATTTTAGGACAAGCAGATCTTATTGGTGCTGCTCTTATATGCTGTGAACATTCACGTTGCCTGAAAATTTTATACATGCTCTTCAATGATGTTCATGGTTGTATAAAAATGCATTGTGTACCACACACTGACACGATATGTTTATTGTGTTTGTCGTGACACAGTCGAAATACACATTCATGTACCTATGTGAATGTTCACAACCACACAAACTCTGGTGATTCACACCCACGCACACAACTGTGAACATTCACATCAGTGGAAATGATGTGAATGTTCACATCTGTTCCACTATGCTAATCACATGAGCCTTCACTTAATTTTTTTTAAATGCTCCATTTTGCAGATGTCGCACAAAAGAAAACCGGAAAGAGAAAAAGAGATGAGTCCCATGTGAAGGAAGAAACCCCAAAAAAAAACACTTGCACCAATGTCGACATGCGCCATGTGAACTACAGATCTAATATGACCGGATTGGTCAAATTAATGAAAACCACCAAGTTCACAGAAGCACAGCTTCGGTGCCTTCGACAAACACCTTTTTGGAATTTGTTTGATGCATTGAGAAACAATCAAATCGACCTGGATAAATGCATGAAGTATGATGATGTTGTTATGCATGTACTACAAATGTACCAAGCTTCAGAAGATGCCTTCTACATTGGGCAGAAGAAGATGAAAATACACAACAGCGACATCAAGCTGATTTTCGGTGTGGACTGTGGTAGCAAGCCAATGGACATATCATACGGTGCAAAACCAAAGACTGGCATTGTAAACAGAAGATGCAAAAACGTTAGCCGGTTGACTTCAAAATGGATACGCACCCTTCTGACCGAGGCATTGAAAGGAAAAAAGAAAGACGACAACGAAGAAGTTGCCCGACTAGTGTGCATGTATGCTTGCCAGAAGCTTTTTTTCTCAACAAGCGGAGAGACAATAGGATGGGGCCACTACGCACATATGGTCCCACTGGAAAGCATGCAAGAATATGATTGGGCCAAGCAAATTAGGACAATGTTGACATCGTCTATTTCCCAAAATGACAAAAATCCAGCAAAAGTCACCGGCTGTGTCATGTTGTTGATGGTAAGTACCCATGTTTTCAAATAATATCATTGACATGTCCTCCAGTGTTGTTCATCTAAGCCAACTGTGAACATTGGCATCTGCACCTCTGATGTGAATGTCCGTAGGCAATTACATTTCACAGATGTGAATGTTCACATCTGAATCAATGATGCGAATGTCCACATTCACTCATAATATACTACTGTGAATGTTTGCGACATTGCTCTGTAGGCAATTATGTTTTCACTACTGTGAATGTTCACATCTGAACCACTGATGTGACTGATCACATTCACTCATAACATACTACTGTGCATGTTCACAACAGTGCCACAACACTTATGTTTCTGTCATCATTCACATCAGTGATTCAAATGTGAACAGTGTGAATGTTCACATTCAGTGATAATGTACCACTGTGAATGTTTACCACACTGCTCCGTAGGCAATTATGTTTTCACTACTGTGAATGTTCACATCTGAAGCAGTGAATGTGACTGATCACATTCACTCATAACATACTTCAGTGAATATTCACAACAGTGCCACATCACTCACGATTCGCAAATGTGAATGTTCACATTCAATGATAATGTACTACTGGGATGTTCACAACAACGCCACTGTGATTAATGTTCACATAGGTTGCCATTACTCTGCAAATGCTAAATAACAATATGCGTTTCTTGTTTTATTGAAGTATTGGTTGTGTGAGCACACAACCGTCCTCCAACCTCACAGACCCAATGCTTTTCCTCGCTGTGTGAAGTGGGATCTGACTGCTTTGCAGAAGAAGATGAAAACCATCTCTTTAGCAGATTTGGGTTTTAATGAGGTAGGGCCTTCAACTAGTGATCAAAACATTCACATTATAACCCCACCCAAATATATGCGTTAAGTAACATAATTTTTTCATTTTCAGGTTAATGTCGGTGAACTCTTTGCAATCCCAAGAGAATTACAAAAGTTCAAGCGTAAAACATTGAAAGTGGAGCCTGAAATTTATGAACCAGGCAGAACATCTCCCAACCTTTCTGACATCAAGGGAGAACAACACAGTGGCAGCAACTCCCACTTTTCTGGGGATGGGGTAGACCTGAAGGACAGTAATGAGGACATTCACATTCCATTTAGCAGCCAACATTATGACAGAGCTATTGTAATACCAGACACAAACCAACCTGATATCATTGATGTGCTTATCCAAGAGAATCGGAAGGCTTGGGGCGTCAGAAGGCAATGGGAAGCAAAGTACAAACACCTTCAATTTTCATGGGAGTTGAGGGCACGAGTCATAGCTGATCTTGAACATAAATTGTTTAACCAGTCCAGCCCGCCCAACGTGAATATCAAAATAAAGAAGTGCATGGAGCAGAAGGATAAAGAAATCAAACGCTTAACGCAGCTGGTCATCGACTTAGAATGCGATAAAACAATTCTTCAGGATCTTTACGATGACCAGTCAGTCCACATTGTCACACAAGCTATGTCAGAAAGGCAATCCCCTAGCCCAATGCAACACAATATCAGCCCACCTTCTAGGGTCAAGCGTATAAAGGAAAAAGATCGCAAAGAACATCGCCTGCCTGACTTCCAATACCCAGACTTACCTGGCCAAAAGCAGCCCCATCCAGTCGAAATGGTTGAAGATGTGGAGAAACACCCACCAGCGAAGATGCCAAAAAAATTATCCTTTACGAACAAGTTCAAAGTCTGGGCCAAGATGTCCAAACATGACAAACAAAAGGTCCAAGCTTTATAAAAAAATGGAGGCAATGAGTAAGTGACTGTGCAAAAATCCAATGTTAACATTCACATTCCGTAATAGTCTATATACCTCACTATGTTCAGTTTTTTTGGTTTGTTGAGATATATGCAATGTGAATATTTACATTGGTTTGTTAATAATGCACAGGCTGCTGGTGTGGAAAGGAGATTCGAAGGCTACACATGTGTATTTTGATGACATTGTCAACCTTATCAAGGAGGAATCAATACACAGCAATGTATGCCATTACAAACATAATTCACTCTTCATGCATATGCACACACAGACACACACACACTCACATCCACAAAATCTATATAATATGACCCCATGTTTGTGCAGCTCATAGATGCATATGCTGAACTGTTGCATGAACAACAAGAGGTGGTCAACCCAACTTCAGATGAAGCCTCATTGATCTTCACGAGCATGTGTTTGGTAAAATCTATCATTCCATTACTTGTAATGTGACTGTGAAACTTCACAGTCCATTAATTATTTGTCAAATGTGTACAGAAAGTGATACGAGAGTACCATCCTCGCAAAAGGAGTAAACACATTGACGCACATGTCAGAAACTACCAAGGAGAGAGATACCTACTATTCCCATTGCATCATGAGTACCACTGGACGACAGTTGTGTATGATGCTAAAGAAAATTTGTGGAAGCATTACAACTCGTTGCGCCCAAGAGGCATACATGACCCGCATATCGACCAAGCACAGGAAATTGTAAGTGGCTATTTTTCAACACAAACATGACTTGTTCTCGTGCATTAAATGACTGTACACACACATATGTTTGTTGGTCCCTAATGTGAAATTCCATACACAGAGGAACTACATTGAGCATGTTGTGACCGTTATTGGCAAGTCATCACCGCTGCACACTAAGTTAGCAGGCCAAAATCCAGCACAACCAACCAAAAGTGTTGATGTCTGTCCTCAACAAGGCGACGACTCGTAAGCCTCACTAAATTTTTTTTCAAATCCTCCACAACCATTATGCAAATATTCCTGTCAACTGCTAATCAAAACCATTTCACATTTACAGAGTGGACTGCGGACCTGCAGTATGTTACATCATGCGGGCGCACGTATATCATGAAGAAATTGTGGGCAGCCTCAGTAGTGCAGAATGGTGTGGACTACGAGATTTGTTAGTGCATAGTTTTTTGAATCATAAGAAATCAGAGCTTCCTTAAAACCTATAGGTGGGGGGTGTCCACCTACGAACTAACCAACAGTCGATTTGAATGTTAATATGGAATGCGTTGATATTTTGACACAGCAACTGATTGTAAAACAGTGATACAACATCTGTTAATCGGAAAAAGGCAGCTGCGAATTTTGAACTACTTTTGGTGTTGTTATGTTTTACATATGTGAATGTCCACAATTGTACCGCTAATGTGAATGTTTACAGTCACGTACGATATGCATACTGCTGTGTTGTTGTGAGAAAAATTTCTGCGAATGTTTGAACCTGACTGTTGTTTAGTACACATACTTTGTGCAGGAGTGTACACTTGGTCTACGTGACATAATTACGGATCACATACACATGTGTGAATATTCACATTTGTGGTTGCTCATAGCAATTGTAAACACTGATGTGAATGTTCATACTCACTTATGACATTCGTAATGCTGTGTTGTGATGAGCATTCACTTATGATATTCAAATGCATATGCACTAATGTTTACATTCACTTACGATATTCATATGCACTAACGTTTACAGCTATGACTGTTCACTGTTTCAACACTGATGTGAATGTTCATAATCACTTATGATATTCATAATGCCGTGTTTTGATGAGCATATTTGATGCGATTTGTGGAACTAGTTTTCAATGTAATACACATACCTTGTGCAGGAATGTACACATTGTTTGCATGACATCATTACGGGTAACATGAACAGGTGTGAATATTCACATTTCTTTACATTCATAACAGTTGTACATGTTCACACCATGTCAATCTTCATGCATGTGAAAGTTCACATCACATCTTATATTCATGTCAACATTGACAACAATAAGGTAAAAACGTCCAACCCATGTGCAAATTTTCACATAATATGATTCGTTTATGTAAGTGTGAATGTCCACATCATGTATTTATCATTACAATTTTAACAAAAAATCAGTTTCATACAGAAAAAGAAAATGAAAAGGCACAAATGAAATACTAAGTTTGCCAAACCATTATTTTGCTTGCCAACACAACACAATCTTATTTGTGAAATGAATATAAGAATCCAATGTAAAACACAACGTTAAAATTAAAAATGTACATCCTATATCGGCTCCTTGCATGACTTCCGATTATGGCTCCCCAGCTTATCACATCTCCCGCACCTTATTTGCTTAAGTTTCTCACCCCTTGATGGGATCCTATTCTTTTTCGGCCTTCCGGGTGGTCTTTTCACAGTTGGCGGGTATATAGTGAAATCCATGGGATCAAAAGGCGGCTTCTCCACCGATGGTATAGGGAATATGGCACCCGAATACGCTCCACGATATGTCTGTACATGAAAGTAATGTTCCACACAATCATTGAGATTGTAACGGCTCTTCTGAATGGCAACAACAGCATGGTCACATGGGAATCCGTTGATTTGCCATTTGAAGCACGAACATGTACGCCTCGCAACATCAACAGTGACAGATGGTATCGAATGAACTTCAAACACATTCTCATTGGCTTTGCTAACTTGCCAAGACCTGCTGTGATTGAACGAATCCATAAGCCTTGTTTCAAATGTAGGACAAATAAGCTCATTCCATTTGTTTGCTTGGTCACGCTGTGCAGACATTTGCCGCATCAATTGAGTATGAATTGTGTCCACCATTTGAGTGATAGGAAGATTACGCGCTTCTTTAATCCAGTTATTAAATGACTCCGCCGCATTGGAAGTCATCTCCCCATAACGCATGCCCCTGCACAATATCACAAACATTTTACAACACGAAAGTTAACAGGTTTGAACACTCACGTTGACTGATGTGAACATTAACATCATTCGCAGTGAACATTAACATCAACTTACACGATGCACAGATGTGAACACTAACATCAACTTAAATGACAGAATGATGTGAATGTTAACAACAGCAAAATATGACAACGGATGTGAACATTCACATCATTCAAATCAGTCATTACTATCTGATGTGAACATTCACATCACTGACATTGAACATGAAACACAATTGGAAGATTTTTACAAATCCTAACTGATAATTCACATCGCTACCATTCTGACTTGACCAATGGAACACTTTATGAAACTGTTATTACCTGAAGTATGAATTTGCCCAGTGCTCAGGTGCCAAGTCCTTGAAAAAATCATGTGCTCATTGTTTACCCTCCTCTTTTAATTTTGCAAGCTTTTCATGGAACCCTACCACAGTTGGCTCGTAAGCACAGTCACCCAAACTACTTACTAGGTGATCCCTGAAGCCATTATCAATTCCTTTCATCCAGTCTCTTAAATTGTTCTTCAATTGTTGTAAGCAATAACCGTGATGAGCCGATGGGAACACCTTCGGCATAGCTTCTAACAGGCCAAGATTACGATCCGAAATAAAAGTAATCTGGCGGTTACCATCAAGCACCTTCCCAAGTTCATGCAAGAACCACGACCAATTCGCCGTGGTCTCCGAATCAACAACCGCAAATGCAACAGGAAACAGACCTACAACACAACACAAATAACTGGTGCGATGGCCAGTGAACCTCAACCAAACACCGCTAGGTTTGCTCCAAAACAATATAAATGAAACAGGTCATGTGAATGTTTATATTTACATTGCCCTATTACTATTGTTATTTCTGGATTCAAGTTCATAAACAACAATGATGTGAACATTCACATTAACGCCCATCAATAATTCATTTTTGATTGTTCAGCAATTGATAATGTGAACATTCACAGTACTGTTCATTAACGGATCAACTGACAGTAGTATACATTGATGTGAATGTGAATGTTCACCTAACTATCATTAGCAGGCACAGATGTACAATACTGTGAATGGATCAGTGTAAAATAATGTGAATGTTCACATTACAGGCATCAGCAGACACAGATGTGAACATTCACATCAGTGCATACTAATGTCAATGTTCACAGTACTTATAATTTCTCCATCACTCATTTGTCCATACTATGCATGTCAATGTGAATATTGACATGAATATAGAGGTAAAAAAATTACTAACCATTGTTTCCGTCTTTTGCCGTTGCCGCTAGTAGCTGACCTTTGTACTTTCCTTTGAGGAATGTTCCATCCAAGAATAATAAAGGCTGACAAGAATTGAACCCAGAAATACACACAGCGAATGACACAAAGAAACGACGAAACTGTTGACTACTCGCATCATAGTCAATATTGACATAACTCCCCGGATTGTACCGCATCACAGCATCCGAATACCACCGCAGCTAGTCAAACGATAATGAGTGATCTCCATGAATACCAGCCTTTGTTTTCTCCACACCTAACCATACGACATGGTAACTCACATCTAGCCCATAATCCCTCTTCAAAATAGTCACAACATCACACGGCCGAGTCAACGGCTTCAGTGGTTATTTGGAGTTTATTTGGAATGTCATGTTCCTATTTTTGGCTGGTTTGGTGACCTCTCTTATGCTTCACGTACATGCCATGAAAACCATGTTTACTAGCCTAGGTTGCGTGTTGTTTTGGCCCTTCATGTTGGCACCTTTTGGCCGTGCTTTGAACTAACATTGTGCTTATTTTGGACTACCCTAGCACTGTTTTTGGGCCTCGTGGTCGAATGATGTCTATTTTGCATACTTGTAGTTCAATGCATTTGCGCATGCGTAATACCATTTGCCTAAGGGGCTGACAACAACACCTTCTCGTTATGGTGGCAAAATCTTCGTAATGCATCAATTTCTTCCTCAACCCCCACACGCACCAATCCCAAACTAGTCGACTGAACAGTACCACTTTTCAACTCAACCATAACTTCTACATGTTGTACCCCCATTGATTTAGCAAGCAGTAACATGTTCTGAAATTCTTCCTCATTGTCCAAATCACACTTCCTAATCCCAGGTAGTTTACAGAACAGTGAAATAGAACCAGCAGACAACACATCCCATTTCTCACACAAACACACCACCAAACGAGAATAACACATTGCGCGGGCAACATTTATTACAGTTGTACTGCAACCATATGTACACACCAACAACATAAAGGTATCCATCTCCTATAAAAACACAAAAAACACAACAATGAACATTAATAAAAATCAATATGAAAATTCACTTTGTGCAGAAAATGGATGAGAACGCGTACAGTTGAAGTGGTAAATCCATACTTCAGAATACGAAGATGTGAACATTCACATTGTTGTTAACAACATGTCAACATTAAGCAAACATCAAAGTAAAATGAGAAAATCAACAATCTTCACATCATATTCGCACAATGTGAACATTTACATTGAAACAGACACTCTAAATTATATGACACACACAGAGCCTCATTCAGCAAACATCAATTTCAAATGAGAACATCCACATTCTTCACATAATCCACATTAACAAAATGTTAACATCCACATTGACATATATACTGATAATCAAATCATCTACAGAGATCCTCATTACGCATGCGTCCAAGTAAAATGAGAACTACACATTTAATCAAAATCG